CGTTTTTAACCAAATTAACTATAAATAATAACCATTATAATGAATAATAATTATTTTGGCGTCTATTTAATTTAGCGATTTAAAGCTCTCTCGCTAATATCGCTAAATTTAGTAGACGCTAAAAATAGTAGGCTTAAGGTAAGAACATGTATATGCATCAGATGAAATTGTAAAAATGAAGGATGCTCTCCTTGTCAATTTTGGTGAAATTCGGCCCGAGACCCTGTACTATAGTACAGGGACTTTGGCTCAATTTTGGAGCAACTTTAAAAATTCATGAAAAATTCAATTTTGATCAGAATCAGCTCAAACTTCTCCCCAACATTACATAACTGTATGTGTAAAAAATATATTAAAATGGAGGCAAAATACCCTGTACTACATGTACATGTATATAATAAGGCTGAGCACTTTGCCAAGATTCTTTGGAAAACCCTGTGTATAAGCATATACTGTACATAAACTACATGTATATTAAATAGCAATTCAGCATAATACTCTACATTACTTACATAATACTCTACATTACTTACATGTATTTAATGTATTAAATTTTGTATTGTTAGACTTCTTTGATGCTGAGATAAAGAAGCTTGGTGTTGAAAACTGTTATTTCCCAATGTTTGTCTCTGGATCAGCTCTACAAAAAGAAAAGGATCACATTGCTGATTTTGCCCCCGAGGTTGCCTGGGTAACCAAGTCCGGCCAATCAGAATTAGCTGAGCCGATAGCTATCAGACCTACATCAGAGACAGGTTAGATTGGGTGGGTGTGGTCAATGATGTCATTATATTCTTTTATAGTGATGTATCCATCATATGCCAAGTGGGTTCAGTCACACAGAGACCTCCCACTTAAACTTAATCAATGGTGCAATGTTGTAGTAAGTTTTAATGTTGTTTTTTTAGTTTTAAACGTATTTACATGTATGTATAGCCACAAAATTTTGAGGCAACAAACTTGTAAATTGGGCCACAAGTTTTTTGCAAATTAACTTTCATGATTAATTTTCTGTGAAGCCACACCCAAGAGAGCCATGTTATGTACAGTACATGTAACATGACGGATAATTTTACAGAATTAACTTTTTTGGGTACGGAAAATCTATGAAAACAGCGAAAATTATGCCCTTGAAACTGAGTGGCTATACAGTACATTGTATATTTTTTTTCATTTTGTCTTTTCTTACAGCGTTGGGAGTTCAAGCATCCTCAGCCATTCCTGCGTACCAGAGAGTTCCTCTGGCAAGAGGGACACACAGCACACGCTACTAAAGCTGAAGCTGAGAAAGAGGTCAGCCTTTAATCACATGACAGGCACATGCACACACACTCACAGGTACTGGATATTCTAACGTTATATCAAAGAGTTTATGAAGAGCTATTGGCTGTTCCTGTTATTCCTGGCTGGAAGACAGAGAAGGAAAAGTTTGCAGGTGGAGATTATACTACCACTGTTGAAGGATTTGTAGCAGCCAGTGGTAGAGGAATACAGGTACACTGATGATATAACAATGGACTATTGACTGGTCCTTCTTTATAGGCTGCTACTTCTCATCATTTGGGTCAGAACTTTTCTAAAATGTTTGATATTAAATTTGAAAATCCTAACCAAGAAGAAGTAACCATTTAATATTATGCATGAATGATTTATATTTTTTAATTATAGGGAGATGATCATTGTTTTGCATATCAGAATTCCTGGGGTATTACTACACGCAGTATTGGTATAATGGTAATGGTTCATGGGGACAATAGAGGACTGATACTACCACCCAATGTGGCCAATATACAGGTACGTGGTATTGATAATATTGTAATTTTGTGATCATTTTTTGTTCACATACACTTATATAGGTGATTGTTGTTCCTTGTGGTATAACAGCAACAGTTGATGATACTAAAAGAAATGAATTAACTAAATATTGTGAATCATTGATCAGTTCATTGACTGAGGCTGGGATTAGAGCTAAAGGAGACTTTAGATACAATTATTCTCCTGGTTGGAAGTTCAATAACTGGGAACTAAAGGTATATAACACATAAGTACAAAAATTCTGTTTTTAAATACAATTTAAGGACTCAATGCATGTAGTAAAGTGGTTTAATGTCTGATGGACTTTATTTTTATTTTTAGGGTGTTCCAATGCGTATAGAAGTTGGTCCACGTGAAGTTACTAATAAGAATATTGTTATTGTTCCTCGTGATACTACTGGAGTAAAGGAACCATGCAGTATAGCTGCTGCCACAGAAACTGTACAGAAGAAATTGAAAGAGATTCAAGAGAGACTTTATGCAAAGTAAGTCATGGAATGAGAGACTACAGTAAAATGTATGATAACAGGGCTAAGGCTGAAATGGATGAACACATTGCTGTACTTGATAACTGGGATGACTTCTGTAGCAGTTTAGACAAGAAAATGGTAAGTTCTACAGCATTCATTTCAGTCATGTACTTTTTATAAACATGCATGGGTATTAGTAACGCGGTAGCGTTACTAAGTAGAATTCACCCCCAAACAAAATGGCTGCCACGACTTTTGCAGCCTTGCTATACTGGGAAAATGAGCTCCTATGCTTACCAGACTTTATAGAGGACCTTATCTTGACCAGAGGACTCCAATGGTACAACTAGCATGGCTCTAGACCTTGTATAAGCGAATAGTCAAAAATCGGCAAACTGGCCGTTTTGTTCAGCCACCTTTTTTCATCTTCATCATCAAGTCCTGTCAATCCAGTTTTCGGTGTGTATCTCAGTATCAGTTGGTGCTACAAGGATAATTCTTACACCAATCTACTCCAACAGTCTATGTGCAGGTCCATGTCCCATCAGATCATTCTTCAAGCAAGGAAAAAGTGATACTGTGACTGCTGGATCGAGCCATCTTAGCTACATGCCACCATTTTGTTAATTAAAGAAGCTTGCCATGTGCTCCAAAATTTGGGTGTGGTCGCGCATGCTCGCAAGTTATTTTTTACCAAGCTATGCTTGGAATTAACTTACTGCAATACTTTAGTGGAGGTTTCCAGCTAAAAGAAGGTATTGATTTTACATGTTACTGTTTTATCAAGTGTGTTATTTTATTTTATTTTAAAAAACAAACAATTAATTAATGTTATGACTTATGATATGCAATGATAATTATGAACTTGACAACAGCCTGGAAGAACAGGAATAGCAGGGAAGATGGACACTCTTAGCTCACAGATTCTTGAACAAGGACTTGTGTCAAGACTAGTATTAGTTTCACTTGTCATCAGTATAGTTGATATACCTTCAGCATGTCTATTCAATGCTATCTCTCATAAATGTTATAACAATGATAATAATAATAAAGAAAATTATTGTTTGTGTAAAATCAACAAGTATCACAATTCCAACTAAAGAAATACTATAAATATTATTTTAAAAATCAACACAACAAGAACATAAAAAATTTTTTTTAATGAAGTAGGATTCCGAACGACCAACAAAAATTCGAAATGAAAATCCTACTCGTGACGCAAATTCTACTCTACATTGCAAGATGATCCATAATTCTTACATAATAACATTGAAAGTGCAATGTAGAGTAGAATTTGCGTCACGAGTAGGATTTTCATTTCGTATTTTCGTTGGTCGTTTGGAATCCTACTTCATTTTTAAAAAATTTTTTATGTTCTTAGTCATGCATTAAGTCAGAAACTCTACAGACTGCTATTATGAGGGTGTT